CAGCAGACCTGGTACTAGGTACTAATGTGGCATATGTAGGTACTTCTCCAGATTATGTGACATATTTAGGTACTACTCCAGATTCTGTGACATATTTAGGTACTACTCCTAGTTCAGCAGGCCTGGTACTAGGTACTAATGTGACATATGTAGGTACTACTCCAGATTCTGTGACATATGTAGGTACTACTCCAGATTATGTGACATATGTAGGTACTACTCCAGATTCTGTGACATATTTAGGTACTACTCCAGATTGTGTGACATATTTAGGTACTACTCCCAGTTCAGCAGGCCTGGTACTAGGTACTAATGTGGCATATGTAGGTACTTCTCCAGATTCTGTGACATATTTAGGTAAAACTTGGCTTGCAGTTTGCACAGTGCTAACTGGAGGGGTGTAATCTTCCATTCCATTATTAGCCTTGCAGCTCCAGTGCAAAACTAAAGACGCAAACTTCAGTTACCAAACATGTCTTGGCTGATTAACTACATCTGGAGGACATTTTCATTTTGCCCCGCAATTAGCAATTTAAATGTAGATTTCTCCAGAATCCTCAGTTTTCATTGTATAGCTGACCAGTGGTGGTAGGACAGTCCTATTCTATACTTGACCATGACAACATGCGGTCAGTTACTGAAACGACTGAAGTCTGTCTCAGACTGGCTGAACATAATGGCTTTCAGCTTAGACTGTTTGCTACAAGGAACATATTGTATGTTTCTGATATGTGAGGAAACATATTCCTATTAATCTTTAAAAGTTTGGTACGGCGATAAGAAAACCAAAGTCTAGGTGAATTTAACACCATACAAATACACTCACTGGTCACTTTACTATGACCACCTATGTTGTATCTACATTTATTTTCCATTTTACCAGGTCCACTTACCACATAAGAGCACTTTACAGCTCTACAATTACAGACTGTAGCCCACCGACACAATTCCCCTTTACTCCGCTCATTGATGGAGCCCCACAGGACCCCCACAGAGCAGGTACTATTTGGGTGGTGGGTCATTCTCAGCACTGCAGTAACACTGATGTGGTGGTGGTGTGTTAGTGTGTGTTGCGCCGGTACGAGTGGATCAGACACAGCAGTGCTGCTGGAGTTTTTAAACACTGTGTCCACTCACCGTCCACTCTATTAGACACTCCTACCTTGTCAGTCCACCTTGTAGATGTAAAGTCAGAGACGATAGCTCATCTGCTGCTGCACAGTTTGTGTTGGCCATTCTCTAGTCCTTCATCAGTGGTCACAGGACGCTGCCCACAGGACGCTGTCAGTTGGTGGACTATTCTCAGTCCAGCAGTGACACTGAGGTGTTTAAAAACTCCAGCAGCACTGCTGTGTCTGATCCACTCAGACCAGCACAACACACACTAACACACCACCACCACGTCAGTGTTACTACAGTGCTGAGAATGATCCACCACCTAAATAATACCTGCTCTACGGTGGTCCTGTGGGGGTCCTGACCATTGAAGAACAGGGTAAATATACAGAGAAATGGATCGACTGACTACAGAGTGCACCCATACGGTAGGTGGACCTGATGAAATGGACAACGAGTGTAAAGTGGCCTCTGAATGTATCTGAAAGCATAAAGCCAGCAACCTACATTCTCAGTCACACCCTACTGATTCGCTCTCTGTGAGCTGGAGTGTCATGGCAGAATGAACACGGCTGGATCACATGGCATCATATTGAGTCTCTCTTTGTGTACTTTGATGAATGCAGGATGTCAGTGGCTCAAGTTCAGGATATCGGCACAATGTAGGGCATCTGGACTAACCACTCCAGACATCAGTACTGCCACACTGTCTATGCAGACACTAGATACTGTGTCTCCTAGTTAAAACAAGGAGCGCACCAATATTGAATTTCTGGGCTGATAACAATAACTGATAATACCTCGCTGGTGTCGATATGACTCACAGATAATTAAAAAAAAAATCAGCATTTTAAAATAAATTCATACCGTAATTACCAGCCATGACACAGAAAAATCATATTTGACAACTACTGTAAACATTTAGATTATTTAACGTAAATATTTTACACTACTTATCAGACAAACACTCTTATCCAGAGCCATTTACACTCAGAAATAAAGGTAGTGGACTGTCACTGGGTCGGTACCCTCAAGGGTACATCTCAGTACCTTTAGACTCCACACACCCCGTCTCGTCTCCAGGCTTTTATTTGATTGCTCTGTTTTAAAACATGAATGAATAGGTACAAATACGAACTTTTCACCTGGGAAAACTTATTTACGGTACACAACTGGACCTTAAAACCACTGCTGTACCTCTGAGGGAACATTTACACTGTTTGTACCTTAATAAACGAAAAATGTACCTTCACAGAGCTTTTATTTCTAACAGTGTAGAAAGGGAGGTGACTGTAATAGTAAGAGTTTTTCCCCAGTGAGTCTTATTTAGGCTAAAGCTGTGGGATTTCTGCCTGTATGTTACAATACACAAAATTCAAGATTCGATTTTATGTGATATGGTGGAGCCCTGTGATGGACTGACGACCTGTCCAGGGTGTTTCCTTCCTTTCGCCCAATGACTGCTGGGACAGGCTCCAGCACCCCCCACGGCACAGAAGGATAAGTAGCTTAGAAAGTGTGTGGGTGTGTGTCTGATATGGAGGATACGGCAAAAATAAGTGCTTCAAAAAGTGCCTGCACAGACTACTTTGGCTCACACAAATAAAAGTTCTTAAACTTTGCCTGCATCACAGAAAAAAGCCCTGTCATTTGAACGTGGCTGCATAAACAGCATAAACCCCGCCCCCTCTCTCTGCTCTGAACCATGGTTCACCACTGAACCATCTGGATGCACCACCACTAGTATTCACCACTGACTGATCTGTACAAAAGTCTCTTATGATAAAAGAGAGACTCTTGCAGGAGAGCGAGGAGCATTGTGGCCAAACAGTTATATTTGGATACACGTTTTCATGCTCTTGCTGGACAAGGAATCAAACTTGTAAGATCTGTGTGCCGGACTGTGGTGTTGTCCACTATGCTCCATTTGAGACGAGTTGAAAAGAACAGAAATGCTCAGCACTACTGACTAAAAATACACTACTGAATTATCAGCTGTAACTATTAGCTGTGGTTGAGGTACTCGGCCATTAACAATAACTAAACTGGTCAATTTATCAGTGAGTAATATACTGGCTGCGGACACCCCCTCCCCAAAACAGAGGTCCAGTAGTCACTTCTAAGTGATGAATGGGATTAGCAGGGGCATAAAAATTCACAAAATTTATACTTCGGTTCGACATGATTGAGTTCAGTTTTTCTTGCATTAACTGTCATCTATCAATGCTGTAATGTTGCTGCCCCTCAGAACCAGCGCTCACTGTAATGGCGTCACAAACTAGAAGCTAATAAACAGTAATTAGGATTATTACTTTACCATAATTTTGACTCGGTTTAGAATAAGAATAGAGCAGAATCAGATTTTTGTGCCTTGGAACACAATTCAGGTCTGAAAGGATTTAGGCTACGTTCACATTACCAGGTTGAAGTGGCACAAATCTGATTTTTTGCCCTAATGTGACTCAGATCTGATGTTTTCAGGGCTGTGTGGACATTTTTTCAACTCCGATCTGAGCCACTTTAACATGTGGTCCCAGATCAGATACGTATCCGACTCGTGGCCATGCGACCTTAATGTGAAGCTCAGATCTGAATTCATGTGCTTTCTTTCCCCACTGCGCCATCATTCAGCGTTACCATGGCAGCAGCGCCGAACAGAAGTTAAAGCCTGTAAACGGTGGAAAAGCAGCTCATCTCACCTTTTTCTCCTTCGTCTCGCTCTAATAATGAAGCTGAGAGCTGATCAGAGTTAATTATCTTCTCAGCGAAGCTCGTTCTGCTCGTTAGTTTGTGCTGATGATGCAGTGATTCATTCACGTGACGTTACTGAGTAGGATGAGCTCATGCGGGTCATTTCAGGACGCCGGTTCGTCACATTAATGACAGATTTTAATCACTTAACGAGTGTGAACCATTATGTTATTATTACAGGATGGCATTAGTCCGGAGCCCTGCCCTTGGGTTGGTTGGTTTATGTATGTATGTACGTACACCGACCAGGCATAACATTCTGACCACCTCCTTGTTTCTACGCTCATTGTCCATTTTATCAGCTCCACTTACTATATAGGTGCACTTTGTAGTTCTACAGTTACAGACTGTAGTCCATCTGTTTCTCTGATACTTTGTTACCCTTTTACCCTGTTCTTCAGTGGTCAGGACCCCCATGGACCCTCACAAAGCAGGTACTGTTTGGGTGGTGGATCATTCTCAGCACTGCAGTAACACTAATGTGGTGGTGGTGTGTTGCGCTGGTACGAGTGGATCAGACACAGCAGTGCTGCTTGTTTCTTATTTTGCCAGCTCAAATAAAGATTACAGAGGCTTTTTAGTATAAAATGCGATGTTTGTTATTCACAGACGTCAATGTTTTCCTCTCTAGAGATTCAGTTTCTGGTAGATATCGGCAAAAATGCTGGATGGGATATCAGAGGGGGAAAAAAGGGAATCATCCAATCCTGAAACAGCATTTACTCACACTGCGTAAAGTGACGTTAGCTGTGTATTTCTTTTTGTGGGGTTAACAGAGCGACTAAGTCGCTTCAGCATCCTAGATTACTTTTAGATTCTCATCAATAAAAATGTCTCAATTTAAAAGTTGATAGTTTCTAAAGAAAGAAATATCTGATCAGTACTGAAGGTTTCAGAAAAGAAAATGGTGCCATCTCTGCTGCTGACTGCTGAGGAATATCCTCAAACGCTGTGTCTAAGTAGGACACGCACAGTAAACAATTCCCAGAGAGGAGAATGTAGGTGAGTGTCAATCACTGGTTGCCCAACGTTGGCAAACACACATGAAAAGACAGGCCTCTGAGATACGGTACGAAGATTACGCGCCTGCGGATAAGCTCAGCGTTTACAGGCAGGCTGTGCGGTGCGCTTACCTGCGTGGACTTGTCTTTCATACACGAGGGGTAGTGCACGTGGGGGTCGCGCGGCCACTGGCCGGTCAGGTAGGGCCCGGTGATCGCACCCAGAGAAGAAGTCCGTCTGATTGAGCCTGCACTCCGCACCTGCTGGGCCTTCGACCTTTCAACTGCCACACGCAGAGAGAAAAAAAGAGAAAGCAGAGAGAACAGGTGGGAGGGGAAGAAAGGTAGAAAAAAAAAAAAAGGAGTGAGCCGACACGTCTGCTAGAGCAATACAGTAAAGAACACACAACACCACTTTAACGTTTTATTGGGTTTAAGCTGTGCCGTCGTTACTACAGTGCGGTTAATTGTTAATCCCACAGGTGCCGTCGCTATCTACACGTCACAAATGCACTCGATGGTGATGGATGGCATCACAAAATGCCCGAATAAGGACGAGAGCAGGACGGGACACTAGATGAACTTGCTCTGACAAACGTTTGCACTAAATCAAAAATAGAAAACCGTTCATTTCCGTATGTTCAGTATTAGTGACAGCAATTCTATCCATTTTTGCTACTTAACCTCTTATTCTCCAGGGTATATTTTGGTTTGTCCATCTGAATTTCCATGACCAAATCATAAGGCAAATTATTCAGTAACTGCATGAAATAAATGTACATTTTTATTTTATTTATTTATTTATTTTTTTTGTAAAAGTTCCCCTCAAATTAACAGAACATGTGTTTTATGATCACACATATTGCTATATGCTTACAATTTACTGCTGAAAGCCAAAAATCTTAGACGCTCTTTGTTTTATTTTATTAAAATAATTTTTACAGAGCAGATCACTGAAGAGACGCCATCTGTTTATAGTTTATAGCCCAGATTTGTGGAAAAATGGGTTGACTTTCACTTTCTATTTGACTGGATAGAAGACAGTTACAGCTCTCATACGACCCCCACCTTTTGAATGTAGCTTATGAGATACGAAAATTATGAAGAATACGACGAAGTGCGTTTTGGAACCACCGGTGGTCTCAAGGAGTTAAAAGGTCAAATGTTTGCTTTTTTTAATTAACAGTATTTGAATACCCCAAACACATACTATTTCACATTGTTATTAATAACTAAAAATATGAAAAACTCAAGGTTAAACACTCGTTTATGGCATCTTAACATAAGAGTTGACCCGTACCTGAGAGTTCAGTTGGCTTACAGAACAATAACCGACAGAATCAGACATGTTTGTCATCTTCTTGTTATTCAGTTATGAAGCTGGATGATTGAAATGTCCACAAAGCTGCACAAAAGTGATTACATTTGTCTCCCAATCTGCTTTCTTTTAATGTTTAAAGTTAGTCCATGTCCTGAATCAGCCCGGACACGTTGTCTGGCTTTTTTTTTCTTTTTTTTAACCCGTGGTCATGTTTGTTAAACGGCTAAAGCCATCCTGCAGCCTTTGATGCATTTTGATGTTGTGATTATATTATTATTATTATTATTTTTAAAACAGAAAAGACAATGAATTGCTACAGTAACAGCAGCCTTTAGGCTACTTCACACGGTTTTATCATTTTAACAAAAATTGCTTTGGGTCATTCTACAGAAACGTCCATTTTTGTGTCCCTAGTGTTTACAGTTATATTACACTTCAAACACATGTTAGGGTTACAATTTATTTAGATTTTAAAATAAAACAATATGTTAGTTTAACAATGACACCTTCTTGAGCTTCAATTCAGTAATATTGGTTTTTAAATCAATTATCTAGAATTCCAAGCACCACAGAAGAGCTCATCCTCACAGTCATGTGTGAAGGCTGAGGCCACATTTTGAAGAAAAAAAAAAGTTTTTCTGCCATTTTAACTGCAATAATCTATACATGATGATGGAATATATAAATTAAGTGACATAAAGAAAACAAATGCCAAATAAATATTATAAAATATATAATGAAAGTCCCCAGGAGTCGTGTCACTGGTGTGACCGCATAACAAAAAAACTCTCATTTTGAAATAAAAATCACACTGATGACATCACAATTTCCTTTTACCTGTTTTCTGAGTATCTATGAAGAAAAGCACATGGTGAGTCCACTGAGTCTTTCAGTTATCAGAGATTTTCTCATTTAGCTCATGATTTCATATGAAGCTTTTAGCTGAAGTCACTGGTGTGACCGACTTTATTCTGAGGTAACTGTGAAAAAAATGAACGCAAATGGATTAAATTACATATTTTAGTGGATATTCCATGACTGACAGCATAGGGTTTGATGTTCTGTAGCAGTTATTTTGCAAAATCGTTCGTAATGGTGTTACCTTTATTATGTGTAACACCAATGACGATTGGTAACACCAGTGACTCCTATGGAGAGACAGAAAAGTGGACGTTTCTGTAGAATAACTCATTTAAAGGCAGTAAACTTGCAATTTATTGAACCAGCAGCAAAATCAACCAAACCTTAGCAAGTCAGCCGCTGTCAGAGAACCAAGTTTCGGATCAGAAAGCTTGTTTATTTTCTCCAGTTTAGGCAGGTACAGCAGTCAGTGAGGTGTTACCACATAACCTGCTATGCTGAAATGGGTTACTGGGAAAAGGTGCTCAGTCTGTCAGCATGAAGAGCAGCCTGTGATCCATATTTACTACTCCTTGTTTCTGTATGGATGGAAACCTGATCTCGATTTTAACGTTGCTCTATGCTGATTAGCTGCGCTTCGTACTATCTGCCATGTGTGATCCATATCTGGTGTGCGGTTGCCTTTTGGACAGCTAAGAAAATGCTTTGAAACTATTAATGTCAGCAGCAAGGATGTCATTAAAGACTATATGACATTAAAATAAATTAAATATAAACCAAAAAAGAGGAAAACATAACATGGATTTATAGTTTTCAGTAAAGCTACACATATCGCTGCGAACAAAACCTCTTACCTCCAAAATGGTAACTTTACAGGAGAAGGAAAAAACATACTTTACTTTTAATGTAAGTCAATGGAACCAGACGTCTTTTCAAGTAATTCTGGGTCATGTCTTTTGGTCCATTCATCATTAAAATTATGCACAATGTAAAAGGGCAGCAGACATTTTCAAACTATGGCAAAAACCGAAAAACGACAGAAATGGAGATACAAGGTTTTGTTCCGACAGCAGTGATATGTTGGTTAAAACAGTCAGCAGTGCACCATATTTTAGCATTTACACTGTGCAGCTTTAAGGAAGGATATTTTAGATAAACTAGGTTTTGGATGGTAACTGTGAATTGCTGGACCTCCTCGAGGAGAGTGTTTTGGACAAATGCATGTTTACCACCCAGATCAACATTTCGCTGTTGTCGGAATAAAACCTTGTATCTCCAAAACGGTAACTTTACAGGAGAAGGAAAAAACCTACTTTACTTTTAATGTAAGTCAATGGAACCAGACGTTTTTCCAAGTCATTTTGAGACGTTTCTTTTGGTCCATTCATCATGAAATTTACATACAATGTAAAGGACAACAGGCATTTTCAATTTACGTCAAAAACTGAAAAACGACAAAAATGGAGATACGAGGTTTTGTTCCAATAGCAGCGATATTTTCTCGGCCGAAGACTTTTGTTTAGCACTGTATATGTGACAAATTTACCACAGTACACTGAAAGTTTACTCTTTTGTTAAAAATTACAATAATAATAATAATGATAACTTAAGGTTCTAACTGTGACTGTGCTTTTTATTGTTATAAAGACAACAACAACAACAACAACAACAACACTATAGACTCTACACTCTACAGGGAGAACAGAAATGGTCCAGCATGTCTATGCAGACCCTGGCTAAACACAGCCTCACCCTACACCACTACAGTTCACCTCCAGAACCGACCCAAAAGTACCTGGGACACATCCCTCATCTCTCAGAGACTCGGGGTGGAAGTGGGTCAGGGCTGTGCGTGCTCTCAGCCAACGGCAGCCCAAACATGGAGCCTGCCTTTCCACCGTGGAAACGACAATATTTACACCCCTGCGCTCAACCGCGGAGCTGCGCACACAGAGCAGGAGCCGGATCACCTTTATGGCTCTCCACGCTCGGCCGCAGGTATCTGTGTAAACAGGGCCGCTGAAAGAAAGAGACGCTTGGCTCTTCATGAAGAGCGAAGGCCCTGCGAGGCAAACAGTGCTGCGCCCTCGAGCCAGAGCCGGCCGAACAGGGCCGCATTCCACCTTCACCGCAAAACAACCGCCACACAAACACGGCCTGTCAGCTCTCCACTGCCTTTCCTTTAACACTCCCCCGACACAGTGTGTCCTTAACTAATCGCTACTGTGATATCAGCCTTTGCAAAACCGATATCACTGAAGGCTACAATGCGCAAACGAGCCGTGAGATTTTTGTGTTTTGATGAATCAAGGCATTCAAGTAACCCAACAGAAGTAATTACTGTGGTAGAAGTAATGTATTTGATACTGTAAGCATACTGTAATTGCAATATGTAACTATATTCTACATATTCTATGTTGAATGCATCATTCAGCCCTAGTGAGTTGAAACAGAATATAATTGTTAACTTGATATATCAAGTTAAAGTCAACCTGAAATTAAATTTGACTCATTCTTAGCTTGTTAGTTGTTGTCTGTTGTCCCTATTTACCATGATCCATCATATTATATTCTTTACAGCACAAAATTCTTGTTTTTATTGTCATCTTCTATCAAAACAAAAGAGTTTTGCCCTCTAAAACGTTTTCCTGATGGTTATGTCAATATTAACCAATAACATCGTGTTTCATCTGTTCCTCCCACCATCCCCACCTATCACAGTGACTCACTCATAAATACATCACATTTCAGTTACAGCATGGAAGTGAAAGAATGTGTTATGCTTTCCCCATCACAGTGACTTTAACCACACTGACCTACTGCCTTACAGCACTGTTTAATGAATGAATACATGAATAAATGAATGAATGAATGAATACCTTTGGCAATAAATGTGTATCTGCTTGTAAACTCATCATATAATCATTAGAATAAAAAACGAATAATAAAAGTAAAAGTCCATCACATTGATTTGTTCTAAGACACCTAAAAAATTAATAATTTAATTTACTTTAATATTCTATGTACAGATTATCCAAAGCAGGTATTGGATAGTAACGATGAATGATACTGGGCTGCTGTGAGGACCTTGGGAATGGTTAA